GGCTGGAAGCGGGGCTGACACACCACTCCTGAAAGCTGGTAGGAACAGTAGGGCTGAAGTCAGGAGCTGTTGACTACCTATGATGATGTGCTCAGCCATGTGGCCTAAAGGGTACATTAGGTGACCTCCCTGCCCGTCTCAGTCTTGAGTCTCTGTCTGCATCGTTGCCATCCAAACCCTCTCGAGGACACAGAGGGCAGCAGTGAAGAATTTGAGGAAGAGGTGGTGCAAGGTCTTGAAACTGTGGTGGCAGATCCCTGCCCCCTCCACACCCTGCCACCAAAGCCTCTCCTCTTCCTTTTCTCCTGGAAAATGAACCTTGGGGAAACAAGGAGGAGCAATACAGTATTTTGAGAACAACACGAGTCTGAATTTTTATGAAGAGTCAGAGCGGCTCAAACTGCTCCAGAGCAAAGACATAGGTTGTGAGGAGTAGTGATGCAAGAAATCTATTTGTTGTGCCTTACCTTCTTTGGGCTGTGGAGGACTGCGCTGGACCACCGTGCCACCCAGGGATGCTCGGGGGAAACACTGCCTTCGAGTTCTTGCCTACTGTTTTTGAAGTGAGGAGAAACGTTATTTCCCACGGGGTGGTGCTGCTGCATTGCCTGGTGCAGCGACACGGGTGGGGGGACGCTGAGCCTGGGCTTGGGGAAGCGACAGAAGGAAACAGGCATTTGGCAGTGCCCAAGTTCAACGGACAAAACCAGAAACACAAGGATGCTGACCACCTCTCAGTGTGCACCCAGGTACGAACACACCACTGGAGCCTACGCTAGCGGTGCAGGGATAAAAGGAGTGAAGGTAACCCTTCAGGAAGTATTCAGTTATGAATCAAAAGCACCTCCTAAACTACATCGAAAAATCTACTGGCATACACCAAAGTAGTCAATTAGAAGGCATTATTTATTGAGGATATCCCAACTAAGGATTTCATTGTGCTGACCAGGAAGTACCATCACAGCTTAACTTAAACAAGCTCTTCCTTCTCATATGAAGTTGTAACACTTCAGGAAGCAAAATTGTTGTGGTAATATAAAGTATATTCACCATATAGTAGCACACACAGCCTTTGTTTTTCCTTGTTTTTTTTTTTTCCTGAAAATA